CCTTTCTTTCTTTCTTTCTTTCTCTCTCTCTTTCTTTCTTTTCTTCCTCCTTTCCTTTCCTTTTTCCTTCCTTCTTTCTTTCTCTCTTTCTTTCTTTCTTTTCTTCCTCCTTTCCTTTCCTTCTTCCTTCCTTCCTTCTTTCTTTCTTTCTTTCCTTTCTTTCTCTCTTTCTTTCTTCTTTCTTTCTTTCGTTTTTGAGACAAAGTTTCGCTCTTGTTGCCCAGGCTGGAGTGCCAAGGCATGATTTTGGCTCACTGCAACTTACACCTCCTGGGTTCAACCAATTCTACTGACTCAGCCTCCCAAGTAGCTGGGATTACACGCATGTGCCACCACGCCTGGCTATTTGTATTTTCAGTAGAGACAGGGTTTCTGCATGTTGGTCAGGCTGGTCTCAAACTCCCGACCTCAGGTGATCCGCCCACCTTAGACTCCCAAAGTGCTGGGATTACAGGCGTGACCCACTGTGCCCTTTTTAATACTGTTGCCTATCTATTGGAGTAGGGGTCTCAGACAGAACCCCCATTTCCTCTTTGTTATTTTGGCCCAATGATAATGTTACTGGGACCGTTCGCCCTGTGCATGATGCTAAGATTTCTCCCCACCTGTTCCCAGAGCTTTATGTCTAGCATACTTTCTGCCAGGAACCATGGGCTGTGGGAACAACAGCTTGCGTTAGGCCCCTTAATTGAGCCTGCAAAACCGAGGTTCCCCTAGCCTTGAGCAGTTGTTTCAATACTTCTATATACTGTTTCTGTTGAGCTGGTAACTGTGGTCCCATGATGAAACCTCAGCCTGAACAATCCCCCACCCCAATCTTGGTAATCCCCAGCAGGTACCAATGACTTACTAACTCACTGATTTACTGACTTGACTGTGCAGTCCTCTTAATCTTCATTTCGCGGGGTCCAGCATGCTATCTTTGCCAATGGTGACATGGGGCACCACTGTTGGGGCCGCCACCTGCAGGGGTCTGTCCTGCAGACCCTGACACAATGATGGGTGAATAAAGTACACTGACACACAGATATTATGCTTTGCCAGTTTGACTGAGTGTCCGTGGCCACACAGAGGAGAGTGCTGTAAAGAGATAGCGGCGCTGACACACTGGCCTCACCAGTCTTTATTGAGCACATATTAAATGACAAAAACTGAGTCAACACCACTAGAGGTTAAAGATTAAAGATAAGTTCCAATGCCCAAAGCAAACACCATTAGAGGGTAATATCCCTGCTCGACCTTCCCCACCGTGAGCGCCATCTGGAATGATCAAAGGTTAATTGTGTAGGACCACATGAGTAAACAAGCTAGTCAGGTAAACTCCCCACATTGCTGTTTCTACTCTAATTTATGTAAGGGGAGAAGGCTGCATTCAGCCAAGAACTACAGAAAACCCTTTGGCCTTTCAAAAGGGTTTGAGACTATTCTGTGATTTTCCCTAATATGTCTCCCTTAATATTTTGCCACTACCCTGACTGAATCCCCAACATGGTGATACAACCACAATGTGAAAGTCTAAGTGTTTTTACTACTTATAGACACTGGGGAGCACTCAGCACACCTGGAGACCACAGACACAGAGGTCAGTGAGCCCAGGCAGGGAGGAGAGAAGGGCCTGTAGCCAATGGCTTTATTAAGTCCAGGGTGTTATCTGACAGGTTTCCAGCAGGGAGCATTAATGGATGTGTTTAAAGCAAGCAACACTAGGACCAGGAGATCACACTGTGACTGAGAGGTGCTCACTTCATTTATTTAATTATTCTTGTTATTATGATTTTTTGAGATGGAGTTTTGCTCTTGTTGCCCAGGCTGGAGTGCAATGGCACAATCTCAACTCACCACAACTTCCACCTCCCGGGTTCAAGCAATTCTCCTACCTCAGCCCCCAGGGTAGCTGGGATTACACGTGTGCACTGAGGTGGTCACTTTAAATTTGAGGGCAAATGTCAGAACTGTCAGTGTAAAGAAAGCAGCTGGAGAGAGAGGAGCCCAGCATACCAAGCATGAGAGATGCCTCTAAGATTTTCTCTCTGGCCACCAACTGGAGCCACTTGACCCAGGTACAGTATTAGAAACAGCCATGGTGACCAAGCCCTGCCTCTGATGTGAGGCAAGTAAAACTACACCTTAAAAACTAAATGCTAAGGCAATATGACATTATGAGCACTCAAGATACCCACGGACACCAGCAGGGTGCGGTGCTGTGCCCTGGAGTAGGTTCCTGGGTTCTGGCCTCTGGGAATGAGAAATGAAAATGACTTGTCCCTGTTCCCATGACATTGATCTTCCTGCCCTGATGCTCCCTCTTCTGCTCCTAAACCCATGTGCAGTCTCAGCCCCAGATGTCACTGCCCCCAGGGTATCCACAGTGCTGCCTACTGCACATAAACACAAACTCACAGGAGGTGACAAAAATCTGCGTTTGGGACACTTGGTTGATTGTGAAAGAGGAAGAACAGTAAACTTACAGCTACGGAGACTGAGACTCACGGGACTGGAAGGTGATGGAGCTGTCACATGACATATGTGTGACCTCATGTGGAACGTGCAGATCCACGTGGAATAAAACACACAGGCTGGCCTGGGAATGCTGCTGTCCACACTTCCCTCCCTGTCCACCAGAGGGCAGAAGAGTCCCTCCCGGCTTGGAGCCTCCCTGGGGGTTGCTGACCTCTCAGGGCCCAGAGCCCAGCATGGTCCTCCCGCATGGTTGCCAAGGATAACTTTGGCTCACATCCTCCCACATCCTCCTCGCCCTTTGAGATCACCACAGGGACTCTGTCAGCTCCTCCCTACTGACGGCCGCTCCCTCTACAAACAAACAGCTCCTTCCCCCATATTCCTTCCTTCTTGGGTCTCAGCCAAGAGGACATCTCCCAGGGCCGTGCTGGTGCACATGAAGCTACACTGGGCACTTTCCCTTCATGAACTCCTTCCATCCTTTCTGTCACTGCTCTCTAAGTGCCCACCCACGCTACATCTGTCCTGTTCTCTGGGGCATCCCAAGCCAAGCCTAGAACTGACACAGAACAGTGGCTGCCTGGGGGCCCACAGAGTCCCTGGAAATCAGCCAGACACCCTGTGACCTGCCCGCTGCACCCCAGGAGGCACAGAGTGCATGTGACGATCACGCATGGGCACCATCTGGGATGTGGCCGCCTACCCCTGGCTGTCCCTCGTGAAGTCAGGAGGGAAAACCGACCTCTCCTGTGTGCATAGGGGGAAAACAAAGGGTATTAGTTCTCTTTGCTCCTAGAAACAACCCATCCCCACTCACCCTCTCAGGTGTGAGCAACGTCCCTCCAGACAGACCTTCTGGCCACTGCCTTTTCTTCCCCTAGAGAGAGCAGCTTGGCCAGGTCATAACCCTCAGAACAGACCCCTGAGTATGTCAGCACATGGAGTGCTGAGCCCATCATGGCCACGCAGTAAGTCGGGATGAATCTCTCCAGTTCTGAGCCCCTGCTCTGTCCCAGGCTTCCCCTCCCGAGTGTTAATGAGCCATGTCCTACAGGATTCCTGGGTAACTCCCCGCTTCGTGCTGAGACCTCATCATGTCGGGGTCACCACCACCTGCAGTGGTCTGTCCTGCAGACCTTGACTCAGCAACGGATGAATAAATGCACTCTCACACCCATTACAGTGATTCCAGTGGGCTAGGGCTGGTCATCGGCTGCTTTCAGACGGCAGCTGCAGCCAACTGACCAAGACTCCCTCTCCATCCTCACATGTAAAATGTATTCAGGATACATTTTAGAACAGAGGTTCTAAGTCAACATGCTTGTGGATAATTAACATGGTTAAAAGAGTGGTTTTACAAATGATAAAACCTTTAGGTTCTGGGGCTCAGAGTAAACACTATTAACGGGTAATTCCCCTTTGACCTCTCCTGAGAGGCTCATCCTGCAGACAGGTTACATGATCAAACAAATCAGAGTAGAGACAAAGGGATGTGGGGTAAACAGACAGCTGGGGAAATTTATTGCTCTATCTTTTACCCCATGACTTAAAATTCCAATGTCATGAACTGGCTGCCTTCAGGTTGTTCCATCGAAACCTTTAGGCCTTCCAGAAGGTTTGAGACTCTATTCTTCTAACTTTCCCTAATATTTCCCTAATATTTTGCCAGCCACCCTGAGTCAACCCCAACATCCTGCTGCACCACCACGGGAAAGGTGCGGGGACCACAGCACAATCAGCCGGGCAGAGAAGAGAGGACACCCAAGATGGTCAGGAAAAACACGAAAAACCCTGAGCCCCAGCTCAGCTGCCAGACCCCAGGGGGCAAGAGAATGACTGAGAACTGTCCCTGTGACCATGGGACCATGAGCAACCAGCACAGGCCTCTCCTCCCAAGGGGCATGAGAGATTTACCCTGCGCACCTCCAGGAAGGACAGTTTCCTCTGGGACACCCCGGTCCTCAATGTCCATCCTTGGAGGCTGCAGCCAAGTTAGACGCAATCAGAGAAAGGAAGGGTCCCTCTCACCAGCCAACACTCAGCTGACCCATAGCACAGTCGGGTGTCGCTGTGACAGGGACCTGGTGCAGCCCCAGGCCCCTGCACTGAAGGGAAGACCCAGGTGGGGATGAGAGAGGGCAAAGGGTGTGAATGTGCATCCCGACCCTGAGCCATGGGGACAGCAGGAGGCTGAGGCTCAGGACTGTGCTTGCCCAACTTTTAGGGTATGTGTGTGACTGTGTGTGTCTGTGTGTGTGTGTGTGTGTTTCTGCACATGGTGTGTGTAGAGGTGGGTGAGAGAATCACTGCTGAAGGAGGCAAAGCAGTTCCCAGGGGCCGGAAACACAGAGAAAAGGAAAAAGAGAAGGAGGGAAAACGGAGGCAGGACCGAGGGGAGTGGACGAGAGGTGTCCTGGGTACAGACCCCGCCCATGAGACTAAGAAGTGCTCCTGCCCTGGGAAGAGGCTCAGTGCAGAAGGAGGAAGGAGAGCAGAGCTGGCAGCCGTGATCTGAGGAGGACACGCAGGCAGCAGAGACCATGGTGTTCCCCTCAGCACCTCCCTGCACACAGCCCATCACCTGGCAGGGGTTCCTGCTCACAGGTGAGGAGAGAACTTCCTGGGAGAGGACAGGAGGAGGAAGTGCAGTTACTGGCTGGGGTCTCCTGGGGAGGACGGGGCTCTACAAAAGAAAGAAGCCTCTGTTGGAGCCTAGATAGGGGGAAAATACACCAGAAAGGGGCAGAGATCAAAACGAAAATCTCAGTGAACTGGAATTGGGAAGAGGCAGGAAAATCTCAAGTGTTCTGTTTTCCTGGTTAATTATCACTGGCCACTACATTTCGTAAAATAAGAACTATATCAGATGACATTTAAAATAAAAACATAAGCAGGGCATGAAACAGTGTCCTCACTCAAAAACCTCCACAGTTGGAAAAGAAAAAAACACCACCAGGATGTGGAGGGCTCTGGGAATTCTCACATCCACAGGAGTCTGCAGTCTTTCCCGGGTGTTAGGGTGCAGCCAAGACCACAAGCGTCTGTCCTCATGGAGCTCACACTCATGGGGAGGAAGACAAACACGCAAAGAGATCTAGAGTGTGAGGTCAGGTGTTGACAAGAGCCCTGGAGGGAACAGAGCAGGGAAATGTCAGAAAGGGAAGACCCAAGGTCTCCGGAGGAGGTGTCAAGAAAGGCAGCTTCTAAGGGTGCCCCGATGTGAGCACGATCTGAGGGCGGTGGGGAGGGAGCCAGGCAACCGTTAGGGAAGAGGATTCCGAACAGCAAAAAGGCCAAGGTCAGAAGTGTTGGGGGTCCTGTTGCTGACCTTGACCCAGTAGGACAGCAGGACACACACACACACGCACGCATGCACACACAAAAGGTATAGGTGTGTGTCTCTTCAAGGCTGAGGATTGAAGAGACCTTCTCAGGACCCAGAGCCCCATCTTTTCACCCCAATATATAAGTCTCCATATTGACAGATGCTCTCTCTACCTCCTAGCATCACTTTTAAACTTCTGGAACCCACCCACCACTGCCCAAGTCATGATTGAAGCCCAGCCACACGTTGTTTCAGAGGGGAAGGATGTTCTTCTGCTTGTCCACAATTTGCCCCAGAATCTTATTGGCTACAGCTGGTACAGAGGGAAAATCATGGACATCACCCACTACATGACAGCATTTTTAATAGACGGTCACATAACTATATTTGGGCCAGCACACACTGGACGAGAAACAATATATCCCAATGCATCCCTGCTGATCGAGAAGGTCACCCAGAATGACGCAGGACCCTACACCCTACAAGTCATCACGCAAGGTGATAGGAATAATGGAGAAACTGGACATTTCACCTTACACCGTGAGTGATTCCACAGAATCCCTGGGTGGTGTCGGGTTGCGGGGTAGTCACTTCTACTTTGCACACATAGAATTGTCAGACCTGGACTGTCTGTGTCCCTCTCTGCATTATGTCCCAATTTGGGGTTTGGGCATTTAGCACAGGACACACACAGGGGAGACAAACTTCGACAGATCAGAATTCCTTTCCCGCATCCAGACCCTGCAGACATTCACTGCAGAGGAAGGACAGTCTGACAGCGGGGACTCAGCAGGAGATCACTCTCAGCCAAGCACCCCATGCCTTCTCCATAACATGACCCTGAGGAAGACCCTGGAGAATGGAGTAGGGCTTGGCCTGAGGGGTCCCCTGGGATACTCTCAGGGAAGCTCAGCCCTAGAAGCCCCAACCCCAGACCCCTATCTCAAAAGTCTTACTCCAGATAAAGCTGAGGAGCCTGTGTGAGGGCTGGGTCATGGCTTCCTGGGCAGGGCTTACTGCGAGCAAGGATTTACCAGCTGTCTGAGGACGGTGGCTCCTGGAGCTGCTCACCAGCCAGGGCTCAGCCCTCAGAGCCTCATCTGGGCAAGGACAGAACCTTCTTCACCTGATACTCAGAGTAGAGAGGACAGAAAGACAAGCTTTGTGGGCCATCGGCCAACTATCTTGGGAGGTTTGGGACGCTCCATAGAAAGTCCAGTGTCCCCAGAAGCAGAAACAGAAGACAGAAGAGGTACCTGGCAGCAGCTTGTCCACAGGGATCTGACCTAAAGGTACTCTCTCATGGAGGCAAGTCATAATAAATGCTGTTTATTATTTATTTATAAATTGAATATTATTTATAAATGCTGTGCTAAGCGTTAGGTCAGGTGAGTAATTTAAAGTGGATTTACAGAGAGCATGAAAAGCCACACACTTTGATGGAGACAAAACTGAGGCACAGGAAGGCACAGCCACGGAACCAGAGTCACACAAACACCAAGGGCAGGTCAGAGTCCCGTGACGTCTGTCTGCAGCCACAGGCCCATCCTCTCCACCGGAAGTGAGGGCTTACTGGGGTCTCAGGACCCCACAGTCATTTACTGGCTCAAATCCCTTCTTCTTAGGCATCCAAACCTCAGAGAAGTGAGAGCAAATGGACAGCTGCTTAGTTGTACTCGAGAACTAAATCGCCTGCCTCAACTGTCAGAGTCAGGGCAAAAACGGTCCAGGCCTCCCCCTTAGATCTTAACCTCCATCACTGAATCTAAAATCCTGTGTTTTCCAAAGTGGTGACGTCACTCTCGTGAGAGGACACAGGAGAGGCCTTTATTTTTCTTTCCCTACTCACACCCTGCACCAGCACAGGCCCAGCGAGAGACACATACTCAGGACTTCTCACATCAAAAATGAAGGAATTGGCTGGCACGGTGGCTCATGCCTGTAATCCCAGGGAGATTTGGGAGGCTGAGGCAGGCAGATCACAAGGTCAGGAGATCGAGACCATCCTGGCCAACATGATGAAACCCAGTCTCTACTAAAAATACAAAAATTAGCTGGGCGTGATGACACGCGCCTGTAGTCCCAGATATTCAGGAGGCTGAGGCAGGAGAATCACTTGGATCCGGGAGGCGGAGGTTGCAGTGAGCTGAGATTACGCCACTGCACTGCAGCCTGGGTGACAGAGCAAGACTCTGTCTCAAAAAAAAAAAAAATGATTTTCAAGGAGTTTCAGGGACACAGAACTAAAAAATAAGTACTGCTAATTGATTGAGAATGAAATCATGCTGGTGGGGGGAAATGATCTGTCTTTGTGAAATTCGCCTCTAGGTGGGTACCACATGAATGGATGAGCCATTAGTCATGGGTACGGATGATGTCAGCTGGTTGCCAGAATGCAAAATCTCAGGAAAACCTCCAAAGACCAATCTCAGGTTCTACAATAGTGATGTTATCTACAGGAGCAATTCGTCACACATTTTGTAAACTCCGGCCTAATGACATTGGAACAGTAAGGGATTATAGACTGTGCCTACATTTTAGCAGAATTCAGGCTGTTCCTATAATCTTAATCTCATGCTCTTTCATTAGTTTTACAAAGGCAGTCCCTGGGCAATAAGGGAATTAGTTTCACGGAGGAACTATTATCACTCTTGCTTCAGAGTTAAACCATAAACTAAATTCCGCCCATGGTTAGCCTGGCCTATGCCCAGGAATGAGTGAGGACAGCCAGCCTGAGGCTAGACACCGGATGGAGTCGGCCATCGAGTTTGCTCTCACTGTTGTAATCTTTGCACTGACTCACCAGGGTGTCACAGGCTGGACAAGCCTGCAGTCCCCAAACCCCATGGGCTTATTTCACCCACGTCACTTGTGATTCCGTCCTCAACCTGCTGTGGAACTCACATCCTCCAGTCACTTCCTAGAGGCTTCTGGTTTCCTGTCAGGCATATAACAAGCTGGAGATTTGTCATTCAGATCTAACAGCAAGTAAAAAGCTGAACAAACTCAAAAATCAACAACTCTTCAAAATCCCTCAGAGATGTGAGGTCTCAGTGCCAACTGACCCACATATTGGAGAGAGTGACAGGCAAAGACAGATCAGCAACCTCATCTGAGCAGAAACCCAGGCACAGAAACCCCCGTGGGAACCAGTGCTGGGGACAGAGAACCTGAACTGCAACTGGTGAGTTGCCAAAGAATCAGTGCAGACAAGACCCAGAGGGAAACACTCGAGGGGATGGACCACTTTTGACAACACAGGCACTTTTTGTGACTCTTAGCTTCTGGGGCTCTACCAGGTTTTTGCAGTGAATATTCAGTAGAAATCTCCTCATCCTTTCTGTGGGGGGAGGGTAAAGGAACAACTTGAAGATATGCCAGTGAGTTCTATTCTTTTTAATAAGACCTGTCTTTAAGAGAAACTATTTTACCACAGCCTAATCAGCTAGGGTCTTGTCAGAGCCTAAATGGCCTGTAGGAGAGAAAATATCCAACTGCAAATTCTTCTAGCCATTATGTCTCACCTAAAATGAGGAAAAACTGAGAGCCTTCAGGTTGTTGTGTCCTGGGCTGTGAATGTCACAAGTGCCCCTGGGCTGTGAACATCACAGGAGGCACTTGTGACGTTCACAGCCCAGGACACAGACCTCATCCAGGATCACAGAACCCTTCCCTCTCCACACTCACCACATCACTGAACGCCTGCTCCCTCAAGTCCCTTTACCCAGTACATCATGTCTGACTTTCAACAAATCATACAAGACAGACTATGGCCAAATATATATATATGCGCACAATTTGAAAGAGCAAGGATCAGAACAAAACACAGATGTGACAGATGTGTTGAAATTATCAGACTGGGAACCTTTTTTTTTTTCTGAGATGGAGTTCTTGCTCTTGTTGCCCAGGCTGGAGTGCAGTGGTACGATCTCAGCTCACTGCAACCTCTGCCTCCCGGGTTCAAGCAATTCTCATGCCTCAGCCTCCCGAGTAGCTGAGATTGCAGGCTCCCACAACCATGCCTGGCTAATTTTGTATTTTTAGTAGAGATGGGGTTTCTCCATGTTGGTCAAGTTGGTCTCAAACTCCCAACATCAGGTGATCTGCCTGCCTCGGCCTCCCAAAGTGCTGGGATTACAGGTGTGAGCCACCGCACCCAGCCCACATTGGGAATTCAAAAGAAATGTGATTAAGGGTCATAATTTAAAAAGTAGACACCATGCAGGAACAGATGAATGATGTAAGCAGATAGATGAATATTCTAAGAAAGAATCAACAGAAATGCTAAAGATAAAAAATACTGTTACAAAAATGAAGAATGCCTTTGATGGGCTTACTGATAGACTGGACACAGCTGAGGAAAGAATCCCTAGCTGGAGGATGTGTCAACAGGAACGTCCAAAACTGAAACAGGAAAGTTCAAAAAGGGTGGGAAAAAAGCAGAACAACATATTCAACTACATCATTAATATTTTGTACTGAAAATAGCAATTTTTAAAGTTTATAGCTGTGGTCCACCACAAAGTGTGTAACATACATGTAATGGGAGTACTGGTGGTTTGGGGGACCAGTTGGAGGTGGCCAGGTGGGTGCTATCTGATGGTTTTACTGTCTGTTCCACATACACCTGTTTCCTCATGAGGATGCCATTTGCAGAAGTTGGGGTTCTTCATGTGGAGAGACACACGAGCCACTGGCATCTCACTTAGACTCTTCCTAATTAACATGAACTTAAACTCTAGTTGTGTTTCCTGAGGTTAAGAGAAAATGAAGAAAGCATTTCACATACCTGTTTTGAGCTCCTCCCCGTTTTCCCTGACTCTGCACAGAAATTAGAAGAGGGAGCTCTTTCTGTATTTACTAACATAACACACATCACTTCTCTTAATTTGGCATCATTCCTCCCTTTATGTAACTGACACACCTAAGACTCTCTCTCTCACCAGTTCTTTCCTTTCACTGGGACTCTCTACTTAGTGAGTGGCTCATTTCAAATCACCTTCAGCTTCTTCCATTGAGCATAGTGTGATCCTGCTGGAATTCACAACACTCCTAAACCTTATTTTGGTATCAAGAGAAATACCACTGCCAGCAATTGATCTTAGATGTTTGGACCATCAGTAAAAATTCCCACTGATGAAAACATTTTCATGTTGCCACCAAATATTTTTTGTTACTAGAGTCAGAACATAACATGAGGTCTGAACTCGTGACAACTTTTTACAGTATTACAAATTGAGCATCCAAAATCTGAAATGCCCCCAAATCCAACACTTCTGACCACTTCCATGACGCGAAAAAGAAGTGCTCACCGGAGCATTTTGGATTTAACCCTTTTCAGATTTTGGAGGCTAAACCATTAAGTACACTGCAAACATTGCAAAATCAAACCAAGTTAGAAATCCAAAACACTTCTGGTTTTAGGCTTTCTGCATAAGGAATGCTTTATTCGTATAAACTATAGGCATGAAGCTGTACAGCAGATCTCTAAAACCTCCTCATCCTGCATAACTGAAACTGCACACCCATCGAACATGCCCTATTCCCCTGACCCCAGCTCCTGGCAACTACCATTCTCTTCTCTGACTCACTCTGAAATCCACTGACATGAGGTCCATAGAGTAGTCAAAATCATGGAATCACAGAGTAGAATGTCTAATGAGACAAAGTATCTGCAAGACTTCTTCCCAAATTTTGGTCTCATGTCCGTCAAACACATATGATCCATGAAGTCCAGCTTTCCGGCACTTCACGCTCCCCCTTTCCACCAGTCAGTTCTGCATTTGCAAACATCCACATGTATTTCTAGAAAGATCCACAGGGTCCTCACCTTCCCTCTACAGGGGGAAAGAGAACATCATGGACCCAGAACAGGGTACATAGTCTTGCTCCAAAGCTACCAGCTCTTGCCTGTCCCCTTCACTCTTTCTAGATCATTCCTTGGACTCTGCTCTATCTTTAGAGTCACTGGCTTACGTCAGTCACTACCAAACACCTGGGGAAACTGCCCCACCTTGTGCCTCCACTGCCTGATGGCTGAACTGACCTCCAGGCTTGCCCCTGCCCTCCCCCGTGTTACTTCTGCTGAAGTACCCAGTCCCAGGCCATGCTGCCCAGTACCCAAAGGGTATCCAAAGGACAGTGGTAAGTTCCATCATCACCCATCTCTAGGATGTCCTTGGAAAGGAAAGCTGCAGAGAAAACATACCGGGGGGAAAAGTAAAACTGAAACTGAAAAGATTTCAGCAGCTACATGTTCCAGGTAAGGACAACAAGGTGGGCCAGGCAGGCAACTGGAGAGGGAAGGACTCAGAGAGGCACCAGGAGCTATGACTCTTGGTCCTGTGTCTTTCCATGACCCAACACTCTGCTCCATTCACACTTGAGAAAGTCTGTACTTCTCCCACATAAAGCAGCAGCCTCACTATCTCTGAGCCCTCAGATTGCCATGCATCTGTCTTATAACACACATACACCTGCCATGGGCTTTTAAGGACTTCAGTAGGCTGAGAGGTGGGAGATGCCAACTGTCACTGAAAAATGCCTTTGGAGGAATCAAAGGTGCCACACAGGGTAATCTTCTCTCTGTTATCTGCACAGTGGAGACTCCCAAGCCCTCCATCACCAGCAGCAACTCAAAACCCAGCAAGGCTGACACTGTGACCTTAACCTGTGAACCTGAGATTAAGGATGCAAACTACCTGTGGTGGATAAATGGTGAGAGCCCCCCAAGCAGTAGCAGGCTGCAGCTGTCCAATGACAACAGAACCCTCATTCTATTCAGTGTCACGGAGAAAGATGCAGGACACTATGAATGTGAAGTGAAGAACCCAGTGAGTGCCAGCCGCAGTGATCCAGTCACCCTGAAAGTCCTTCGTGAGTATCTTCTGTTCCTCTGTGGGCCCAGGCTTCCATCCCAGATACACATGCAAGGGCCAGGCCTCTCAGCTCCAAGTACAGAGATCTTTACCCCTGGACATCGAAGCTGGCCATGATTTTCTGCCCTGGGCAAACCAGAGTAGGCCTAGCCTTAATCAACAATGGGAAGGAAGGGGCTGCTCCTGTCACGGGAGGCTCAGGGTCCACAGCTTGTGATGAAAGCAACAGTGAGTGTCTCGGGCTCCAGATCAGTGAACACAGCAGGGGCTTTCCTGGGACTTCCGTGTTGTGTTTGGTTCACAGGGTCACTGTGGCCCTTCCACAGACCAGGAGCTTCCCCCCTGACAGTATCACCTGTGGCTGTATTCTCTCTGCTCCAGATGGCCTGGATGCCCCTACCATTTCTTCTTCATACAGCTATCATTCAGGGGAAATCCCTGAGGTCTCCTGCCTCACAGACTCTCACCCACTGGAAGAACATTATTGGCTGATTGATGGGAAGTTCCAGCAATCAGCACAAGTGTTCTTTATCCCCAAAATCACTAAAATATACAGAGGGGTCTATAACTGTGTCACGCATAACTCAGACACTGGCGGAACAAATCTCATAATCAAGAGGGTCATAGACCCTGGTAAGTGGATCCCTAGAGCACTGGCAGTGTTTCCCAGTGAGGTCTATCTGGATACCAGGAAAGAGCCACCTGCCCTCTGCAAAGGGAGAGGGGACATCAAAAACCCATGACAGGGAATGTTTCTACTCCAAAGCCACCAGTTTTTTCTGTCCACTTCACTCTTTCTAGATGATTCTTTGGTCTATACACTAACAATGAACAATCTGAAAGGAAATTAAGAATTTCAATTGACATTAACATCAAAAACAATAAAATATTGTGAAATAACTTTAACCAGAAAGGTCAAAGGATTCTACTCTGAGAACTACAAAACATTGCTGAAAGAAATGAAAGAGTACATCAATAAATGGAAAGACATTTCATTTGTATGGGTTTGAAGACTCAATACTGTTAGGAAGACAGTACTACCCACAGTGAGCTGCAGCCTCAACCCAACCCCGACCAAAATCCCAGCAACATTTTCTGCAGAATTAGAAATATCTGTCTTAAGTCTGACCTGACAGGCTCTTACTAATGACTGCCACAACAAAGACACAGAGAAAGAAGCAACCAGGGTAAGGTGGAAAGTTCTGATGACACAGAAAATAACCATCACCCTTCTCACATCCCAAAGCTTTCAAAAATACACGAGCACAGCATGGCCAGCAGGGAATTCGCCAAACACTAATCACCAGGCTAGAAACATGGTGAGGGAAAAAAAGCAGGGGTGGGGGAGGAGGAAGAATATATTTGGCGCATCACCTTCCACTTTTGCCTACTAATCTGATGCTGAAAAGAAATGCTCACTGGGGCACTGTGGATCTTGAATCTTTCAGGTTTGGGATGCTAAACCAGTAAGTGTATGGCAAATATTTCAGAATCAAAAAATGTCAGAAATACAAAACCCCTTGTATCCTAAGTCTTATGCATAAGAAATACTCAATCTGTGTGAACTATAGGCATCAAGCTGTACAGCAGATCTCTAGAACCTCCCCATCTCCCATAACTGAAACTGTACCCCCATGAACAACTCCTTATTCTCCCCACTACCAGCTTCTGGCAACCAGCAGTCTCTCCTCTGATTCACTCTGAAATCCACTTACGTGAGGTCCCCAGAGTAGTCAAACCCATGGAATCCGAGTAGAATGTCCAATGGAAGAAAGTATTTGCAAAACTTCTTCCCAAATTTCTGTCTCATATCCATGAAACACACATGGTCCGTGAGGACCAGATTTCCAGCAGGTCATTCTCCCCATTTCCACCAGTCAGCCCTGCATTTGCAAATGTCCACATGTACTGCTAGAAGGATTTCCATGGTCCTCACCTGCCCTCTGCAGAAGGAGAGGAAACTTCAGCAACCCAGGACAGGAAACATGGTTCTGCTCCGAAGTCACCAGCTCTCGCCTGTCCCCTTCACTCTTTCTAGGTCATTCCTTGGACTCTGCTCTATCTTTAGAGGTCACTGGCTCAAGTCAGTCACTATGAAACATCTCGGGAAAACTGCCCCCCCTTGTGCCTCCACTGTCTGATGGCTGAACTGACCTCCAGGCTTGACTCTGGTCTCCCCTGGGTTATTTCTGCTGAAACATCCAGTCCTAGGACATCCTTCAGGGTTTCAGAACAGTGGGAACTCCCATTATTACTTATCTCTAGAATGTACTTGGAAAGGGAAGCTGTAGAGAAAACACATCTAAGGGGGCAAAGTAGGATGGAATTTGGAAGGGACCCAGCAGTCGCACATTCCAGGTAAGGAACCCAAGGTGGGCCAGCCAGTCAGCTGAGTAGGGAAGGACTGGGAGGGGTACCAGGGGCTGTGACTCCCACTCACATGTCTGTTCATGACCCAACACTGCTGCTCAATCCACACGTGAGAAAGCCTGTGCTTCCCTAAGACAGAGCAGGTGGCCTCACTGTCCTGGAGCCCTTGGATCATCGTACATCTGTCTTGTGACACACATTCCAGCCATTGGCTTTCAAGGACTTGGGTGGGCTGAGAGGTGGGAGATGCAACTCTGATTGAAAGATGCCTGTGGAGGAATCAAAGATGCCACACAGGGCAATCTTCTCTCTGTTATCTCCACAGCAGAGCTGCCCCAAGTCTATATCACCAGCAACAAATTCAATGCTGTGGAACATGTCGATGAGGTAACCTTAACCTGTGTACCTGAAATTAGAAATGCCATCTACCTGTGGTGGTTAAATGGTCAGAGCCTCCTGTTCAGTCCCAGGATGCAATGGTCTGATGACAACAGAATCCTCACTCTAAACAAAGTCACTAGAAATGACAGAGGATCCTATGAGTGTGGAATACAGACCTCAGCGGGTGCCATCCTCAGTGACCCAGTCACCCTAAATGTCCTCTGTGAGTATCTTGTGTTTCTCAGTGGGCGAGGCCACCAGCTCAAATCCAAATGGCCAGAGGCCAGGACTCTCAGTCTCTCTCAGGTTCAAGTATGAAACCTTTATTTCTGGACACCCGAGCTGGCCACGACTTCCTGTCCTGTGAAAACCTGGGTGGGCACAGTCTTGACCAAGAATATAGGGGGAGGGATGCTCTTGTCATGGGAGACTTGGGTCCACAGCTTGTGATGGGACAAACAGGTGAATACTTCAGGCTTCGGCTCAGTGAACAGAGATGAGGTTTGGCTGGGACTTCGGGGTGTGTCTTGGCTCAGAGGGACACTGTATCCCTTTAACTGGCCAGGACCATCCCCTTCCCTCGCAGGACATTACCTGTGGCTTTATTCTTTTGCTCCAGATGGCCCAGACTTTCCCAGAATTTCTCCTTCAAAAACCGTTTACCATCAAGGAAGAAACCTCCGCCTCTCCTGCTTTGCAGACTCTAACCCGCCAGCAGAGTATCATTGGATAGTTAATGGGATGCGTCGGCTAAAAGGAAAAGAGGTCCATGTCCCACGAATCACTACAAAGAACAGCGGGCTCTATGGTTGTTTTGTTCGTAACTCAGCCACTGGCAAGAGAAACTTGGTATTCAAGGAAATCAAAGTGGTTGGTAAGTGAGTCCCAGCATCATTGGCAATAGGTTTTTAGATGGAGTCTATCTGGCTTTCAGAGAAAGTCAGGAAAACATGTTTATTCCCAGCCTGTGTCCCGTAGGCACAGGCAAATTTGAAATTCTCCTCCTGAACCCGCCCAATTTGTCTCTACAGACACTGTTTTCCTTATTTCTCATGACCGACCTTGTGTCCAGCCTGAGCAAAGTAGGGAGGGGGCTTGTCAGCCCTGAGCCCTATGTGGTGGAAGAGGCTTCACAGAGGGACAAGAAGGAGCGTCCTCGAGATCAGTTGCTTCTCGCTGTCACCAACACATCCCTTTCTGTCACGTCTTTGTTTTCTTTTACCTACTTCATGAGCTTCAAGAAACATCTGAGGCTTTGAAACAAGCTCATACTTTTCCCCCACATGAGAGGAGGAAGCCCCTTGGATGAGGGAGGAGCAGCTCAGACTCTGCTCCCTGCTCTGCTCCAGGCTCCTCTGTGACTGGCCCTGCCTGACTGCACCTGGGGTGGGACCAGTGTGTGTGGAGAAAGAGCCCCGGTGGCCTGTTCTGAATGTGGCTAAGTCGAGTTGCCAGTTGAAGCCAAGTGTCCCCCGGGTCAGGCTGCAGGGAAATAAGCAGAGAGGAAGCCTCAGGGAAGACTCCTGAGCTGTGTCCTGGCTCTGACGTCAGTGGCTGTATGAGGCTGTGGGCACAGCACATGGGACACAGCAGAGGACAGTGAGTGACGTACACTTGGAGACATACAGAGATTCACCCATGGGGACTGTGTGTGGCAGGAAAGAGATACATACATATAAGTATAGATAGATAGATACATACATACATATAGATACATATATATGTAGACTTTATATATACATAGTCTATATAAACAATATAGTCTATAGATAAGTATATATAAAGTCTATATATGTCTATATAAGTATATAAGTGTACATGTATGTCTATATAGACACATATATACTATATACCATATAGGGTATAGTGTCTATATATATTACATATATTGTGTATATATATATACAATATACTCTAATATACTCTAAATATATACATTATATAGACTATATACATTATATATTTAATGTATATATTATATAGACTATGTATACCATATGCTATATATACACACAGAGGGTTCATCCGCTTTGCACCATGTATCAGAATTGTATTGCTTGTTAAGACTGAATAACATTCCATTGCATGGATGTACCTCATTTTCCTATTCACTTGTTGCAATGGACTTTTCCATTCTTTCCACCTGTTGACTATTGTGAGTAATGCTGCTGTGAGTATCAGTGTACAAATATCCATTCACATTTATTTTAACTTTTAGAGTGTTTGTCCAGAGTGGAATTGCTGGATCAAATGGCAATTCTTTGTTTTGGGAAACAGCCATACCATTTTCCACAGAGGTTACAACACGTCACATTCTCAACAGCAATGCACCAGAGTTCCAATTTTTCCACTTACTTGAAAATACTTGTTGCTTGATATTCTTGCATGCTTTTTTTGAATCAAAGCCATCCTAATGTGTGTGGCATGTGGTTTAGATTGTGGTTTAGATTCACATGTCTCTAAGTATTAGTGATGTTGAGCATCTATGAGTGTGCTTGTCGGCCATTTGCATATCCTCCCTGGAGAAATCTCTATTTTAGTCCTTTGTTCACATTTCGCTGGGTTTTGGGATTTTTTGCTGTTGATATGTATTTCTTTCTATAGTCTGGAAATTAATCCCTTATCAGATACATAATTTGCAAATAATTTTTCCCATTTAATTGGTTGACTTTTCATTTTCTCAATAATTTTTTATACAGAAAAATTTTTAATTTTCAGGAAGTCCAACTTACCTACTTTATTGCCTCTATTTTTGCTGTTATAACCAAGAAATCACTGTGAAATCTAATGTCATGAAGCTTTTTCCCTATATTTCATTCCAGCAGTTTTATAGTTTTTGCTCTTCCCTTTCATTCTTTGATCCACTGTGGGATAATTTTTATATATGGTGCTAGGTAAAGGTTCAGCTCATTTCCATCCATGGATATCCAGCTCTCCCAATATCTTTTGTTAACAAGACTATCCTTTCCCCATGCAATGGCCTTGGAATCTTGTCAAAATCACTCGGCTATATAAGCAGGCATTTCTTTGTGGGCTCTCTATTCTATTCTGTTAATTTCTATGTCCTCCTTCATGCCAGTCACTGTAGTCACTATTGTGGCTTTGTAGTAAGTGTTGAAATCAGGAAGTGTGAGTCCTCTAGCTTTTCTTTTCTTTTTTTTTTTTCAAGATTGTTTGTCTATTTATACTCTTGAGAGTCAATATGAATCTTAGGACAGATTTGTCTATTTCTGCAAAACACGTCACTGGGATTCTGACAGGAATTGCGTTGAACCTGCAGCTCGCTTGGGTAGTGTTGTCCTCCTAGCAATATCGAGTCTTCCCATCCATGAAAATGAAATGTCTTTCCACTTATTGACATCATCTGTGATTTCTTTCAGCACTACTTTGTAGACTTTGGGGTACAATTCTTTCAACTTCTCGGTTAAACTTATTCTAAAATATTTATTCTTTTTGATGTTAACGTGAATGGAAAACTTTTCTTACTTTCCCTTCAGATTGTTAATTCTTGGTGTATAGAAACACAACTGATGTTTGCCTGCTGATTCTGTATGCTGCAACGTTACTGAATTTATCCTCACAGATTTTTCATCTTTAGCATTTTTTACATTTAAGTTCATGTTACCTGTGAACAGAGATTATTTTACTTTTTCTTTCAAATGTATCCTTTTTTCCTTGACTAATTTCTCTGGCCAGGACTTCCAATACCATGTTGAATAGAAGTGATGAAAGCATTTCATGCACGTGTGTCTTGTTCCTGATCACATGGGAAACTGCCCGTCCTTCTCCCCTGACTGCGTCAGCACTGGCCTTTTCACACATTGCCTTCATTATGTCGAGGTGGTTTCCTTCCATTCATAGTCAGAATGTTTTTATTATAACTCAATATTGAATTTTGTCCAATGGTTTTATTGGTTCAATTTTATTACTAATTACAGGTCTGTTCAGATTTTCTTTTTTTTTTTTTTTACTTTATTAAAATACTGAGTTTTATTTCACATGTATATTTTTGTCTCCCCACCATTTCCATGTCTGACCACCACTACTACTATGTCCTATCATAACATTCCATACATACTTAAAATCAAGCAAAGGGTGGAGTTCCATCTTTAAAAACTACAGGCATTTTGGACAACACATTCTTGGCAATGGAATCTCGACAACATTTATCAAACACGGTAGGGAAAACTCTCACTCTGCATTATAAAAAGGACAGCCAGATATCAACTGTTACAGAAATGAAATAAGACGGAAAATTTTTAACAAATTGTTTAAACTATTTTCTTAAAGAGACTTCCTCCACTGACAGAGATCTTGAACAGCCTCCTGGTCAGCCATCCGGAAGCAATTCTTCACATCATTGATGAGCTTGGCTTCCACCTTTTTCTATACTTGCTTGCATTTTTGCTTTAATGTCTTCTACAGAACTAGGTCCTTTTGGTGTTTTAGGAGTTTTTTCCTGTTTTTTGAAGGATTCTTGTCCTTTTGATCTTGGTGTTGATGATGGTTTTGAGTCTTTTCCATTCTGATTTGACTTTTGTGCATTTTTGGCTGGAGTATCGCGTATAGATTTCTTCACTGGCACGTTTTCTTCAGTTTCCTCATCATCTTCATCATCATCTTCATCATCATAATCATCTTCATCAGCAGCAAGTTTTACTTTTTTCTGTGGAACCTTGCTACCACCTCCAGGGGCAGACCGCTTTCCAGACATACTTAAGAGTTTCACATCCTCCTCCTCATCTTCTGACTCTGCATCTTCCTCCACAGCTACTAAGTGCTGTCCACTGATATGTACCGGCCCTGAACCACACTTCAATCGTAAGACCACTGGTGGTGTTATTTCAAAGCCCCCAAGGGAAACCGTTGGCTGTACAGACATTTTCAAAGTTGCCAGTGTTACTTTAATTGGACTGCCTTCGTAATTCATTGCCTCTGCTTCAACAATGTGCAATTCGTCCTTTGCACCAGCTCCTAAACTGACCGTTCTTAAAGATAACTGAAAATCATTTTCATCATTATCCACCTTAAAGTGATAATCTTTGTTGGCCTTTAGTTCACAACCGAAAAGATAGTTCTGGGGCCTCAGGGGGCTCATGTCCATGACCATCAAATCTTCCATCGGGTGGCAACACGCACTTAGGTGGAAGAGAAGGCGGACGGAGATAAACGACCACTTCTCAAAAGAACAGAACAGCCGCTTAGGACGGACTCACACCAGGGAAAAGCTTCTTTTTTTTGTTTGAGACGGAGTTTCACTCTTGTTACCCAGGCTGGAGTGCAATGGCGCGATCTCGGCTCACTGCAACCTCCGCCTCCTGGGTTCAGGCAATTCTCCTGCCTCAGCCTCCTGAGTAGCACGTGCCACCATGCCCAGCTAATTTTTTGAATCTTGAGTAGAGACGGGGTTTCACCATGTTGACCGGGATGGTCTCGATCTCTTGACCTCGTGATCCACCCACCTTGGCCTCCCAAAGTGCTAGGATTACAGGCATGAGCCACCACGCCCGGCCTGGTCTGTTCAGATTTTCACGTGTTTCTAGGAATTGATCCATTTTACCTAGGTTATCCAATTTATTGACACCGAATTACGCGTAGTACTTTTACAATTTTATTGCTTTTGAATTGCTAACGTCTCTATTTTCTTTTCTCTCTCTCTCTCTTTTTTTTTTTTTTTTTTGCTCAGTCACCCCCAAGGCCTGACCCAAGCAGGGGGGTGGTGGGTGGGCAAGGGCCCTGCCTCTGGCTGTGCCCTTAGCCCTGGGCTGCCAGTTTAGGCTGGTCTTAGGGAGCCGACCCTGGGGTCTTGGCCTTCTTTTTTTTTTTTTTTTTTTTTTGAAAATGTGAAATGAAACTCAAAATGCATGACTGATTTATTCACAGCCTAAGAGTGCTGAGGAGGCCCCATTATAATGGTTGTAATTTTTCTTTCTTTTTTTTTTTTCTTAGAGGGAAAAAGAAAAAAAGAAGGGGAAAAAAAGAAAAAGAGGGAAAAAGGAATATTACTTCATTCCTAAAATGGGTTTCAATAATGGCCGATCAATATTTTGAGTGTTTAAAGTGGTTAATGCATATTTTATGTGTTTAAAATGGAGACCTCTATTGTGTTTATTTGTTCTGGCTCTGAGTTCAAGTCCTGGATATCGTTATCAATTTTCTGTCTCGTTGAATCTAAATCTCATTATGTGTCTTATGTATCTGGGTGTTAAGATCTCTTATTGTTACATTAATCCTTTTACCCTTGCATCCTTGTAGCTTT